ACGCTTCAAGATTTAATTATTGAATTAAATTTCAGCAAATTTATGTGTTATAGCGTAATTGTATATGTTCTAGCATAAACGATTTGACTCTGATTCTAATATGTTTCCGCTGTCCATATAGTTTTCCAACAATATTTACGTCCATATTTTAAATTTAGAGCAAGAGCTCTTCGCTATTTTGTTAGATTTATTTACTTTCATAATTTAAATTTAGAGCAAGATTTCTTCGCTATATCACATACTACTATATGCTATATCATCTTAATTAGTTTTACATTATTCAACATTTCATTTTTTGCACAAAAATAACCAAAATTAAATGAAAAGCATTAGTTGACACTTATATTTGCACAAATACAAAAGAATAATGTAATTAATAATTATCAACGTTAAATTAGACATATAGAAATTTGTATGATAGTAAAGGATAAAGTGCGGAGCACGTTCCCAGAACTAGTCTACTGAAACGAATAGAGATCACTAATATATAGTCATGTCAAGAATTTGCAGAAAAATAGACCAATTTGTTAGCATGATGGACAGATTATAATAGCGGTGTATTATCTATGTAATAGCTGTATATATTTGTGTAATTATGGTGTTAATTGCTTCCTAAAAGAAACTAATTTCGCATACAGAAAACACAAAATGAACTCCTTCATTCAACATGCAGGCTTATCCAGCAAAACAGAATGTAAAAAGATCCAACCTCAAAGCTTAGACACCAAGTAAACAAAATGACCTTGTGTACTCTACACTAATAAAACTTAACTTACCTTGACCTCCTTCTGTTTCTATTTCTGCCTGCCTTTTTGTGCTCACCAAAAATTCTGAAAAGAAGTCTGTCAACGAGCTCATTGTATCTTGTGCTATGCAAAAGCAGCCAGGTAACGATACCAAAACACAATGAAGATCCCAATGCAAAACTTATATATTTCCCATCAACTGTTTCATCGTCAGAATGGCTTCTTGGTTGTGACGATCCATTCATTTTGGTGTCACTGCACAGTTTCTTCAGCGGAAAATCACACAGCCCTGTGTTCCCTTCAAAGGATTCTGCTGAGAATGTCTGAAGTTGGTTGCCTCTTGGAATCCTACCGGAAAGTTGATTAAAAGATAGGTTCAAGAAAGCAAGGAATGTGAGACTCGCGAGCTCGTCTGGAATTCTCCCACTTAACTGGTTTACCGAAAGATCTAAGGATCCAAGCTGACTCAACTTTCCGAGGGCCTTTGGTATTCTTCCTGTCAAAGCATTGTGCGAAAAGTTAAGAAGGTAAAGCAATTTGAGATCTCCCAATACCTCTGGTATCTCTCCTTCAAAGTTGTTGCAGGAAAAATCGATGGAAGTAAAAACTTCAAGAATATTCTCAATCTCCATCTCCTGACCTTTGAGAGTTAAAGTCACTCTATTTCGATAGTAGAGGCCATAGTTGATGAATTCAACTTCCAAGTAGTGTAGTCGTGGCTCTGGATTTCTGCTCTTCATCATGCCTTCCAAGTTCGAGAAGTAATGTGGTAGCAGTGCTCCCCTGAAATTGTTGGAAGCAATATCTATAATTTGAAGCTTCGACCATGTTTGATTAGCTATACGACACTGGAGATCTCCATAAAACTTGTTCGACCTTAGGACTAGGATGTGCAAACTGGGTAATGTTTTCAACATACATGGGAATGTATCTCTAATCTTGTTGTTTCCAATGTCCAAAACCTCCAGAAATGCACATCTTTGCAGGGATCTTGGTACTTTTCCTTCTAAGTTATTGTTGCTGAGGTCTAAAGTTTTCAAACTGCAGTTTGACAAAAATGTATCAAGAATAATGCCACTTAGTCTGTTTCTCCCTAGATTCAGCACTGATAGATAGTCAAACATTTGAAATAGACATGGAGGTAGTTTGTTGTTTATGGAATTGTTTGACATATCAAGAAATTGAAGCTGATATAGATTGCATATGGAAGAGGGTATTGATCCCGTAAGTTTATTATTGGCAATTGAAAGGTAGATAAGAGAAGTAGGTACAATGGGTATATTGCCCTTGATCCTGTTGTATGAAAGGTCTAAAGCAAATATGAGTGACTGGTTTTTGAGATCCGGGAACTTTTGCAACTGGCATGATGCCAAGTTCAGTTCACTCATTTGGGGAAAGGGAAATGATGTTGAATTACTACCCTGTACATCAATTCTCAAATTGTTGTAAGAAAGGTCAAGTATTTTTAGCCTAGGAAGTCCCTTTATCGCTTCGATATTAATAGTCCCTCTGAAGGAGTTGGAAGAAAGTAAGAGTTGTGAAAGCCTATTGAGTTTAAAGATAGACCGGGGGATTGATCCATTTAGATAGTTATTGCTCAAGTCAAGTTCATACAAAAAAGAGGAGGACGCGTTAGCAAATTCATGGACTTCTCCACTGAAGTGATTATTCTGAAGTTCAAGCACCTGCAATGATGGAATGGAAAACACAACTGTCGGAAGGGTCCCACCGATATAATTCTCTTCCAAGTGTAGATACTCAAGCTCTGAAAGACCTCCAAAATGAGTAGAAGAAAGTGGACCTGTTAGATTGTTATGAGAAAGGTTAATGTAATTGAGCTTCTTTGCCTTATGAAATAGTGGGATTGAGCCAGTAAAGCTATTGAATGAAAAGTCTAAATAAACTAAATCTCTTAGATTTTCCATTTTTGATGAGATAGGTCCAAAGAAATTGCATGAACTTAAGTCAATCTCGGTTAAGGTTGTGAGGTTAGCAATTGAATCCGGAAGTGAACCTGTGAAATTTGTTCTGCCAAGACCTAACTCCCTTAATGAACCATTCTGTGAAAAGTCAGGTAAAGTGCCAGTGAGTTTTTCATTGCCATATAAATCAGGCTCCTGTAGAGTTGGTACCTGAAAGATCTTATTCGGAAATTCACCTCTCAAGTTGCAGTTACTGAGACTGAGGGTTGTCAATTTTGTAAAATTTGCTAGAAATTCAGGAACTATAGTGGACAAGTTGTTGTCATCGAGACGAATGACTGAAAGGAAATGAAGATTTAAGAGGATGGGATCAAAAGGGCTTGAAATGCCACAATTTGTCATGCTTAACACTCTTAACTGAGGCAGAGATGAAGATAACGTTGAGCACCACTCAATCCCCTTCCATGATATGTACACTTCATCAAGATAAAGTTCTCTAAGATTTGGCAGGTTTCCAACCAGTGCCTTCAGATCTCCGCTCTCAAGCTTTAATGCGACATTAGAAAGGTCAAGAAACGTTAACTTCGTCAATCTTGACAATTCCATTGGAATCTTCCCACCAAAACCAGCAAATGACAAATTCAGGTATGTTAAGTTTGTGAGCTTATAAACTTCTCTCGGTATTTGAACAGAGTTTAAATGATTATAAGCCAAATTCAGCTTCTCAAGATACTGAAGATCGAATAGACTGGTTGGATTCTCTAGTCCGCTGAAAATTGCTTCGTTGTCCAGTTCCAAAACAAGCACATGACCTTTCTGATCACAACTTACACCTGGCCACTGGCAACAGTCAGTGTTTTGATCCCATCTGACCAGTTTGGTTGACAAAGATGAATCGAATGTAAGGCCATTCTTGAGTTTAAGCAACAACGCCTTTTGATCGCCTAAACAATGACCATACACTGGAGAATTAATCAATAAAAGCACCACCAGCATGGTGATGAAAGAAAGCTGTAGCATGAGTGATATTTTCATTGTGAGGCAATGTTATAAAATGCAGTAATGATATGTTGCATGTATACAGATCATATTGGCCGGCACACGCAAAAAAATATTAAGCAAAGACAAGGAATGAGCAACTAAAGTTACTCCAATTTTGAGTTTTGAAAAAGTCAAGACAGCATCACCATTTTGTTTAATGAGGTCCTACTTCAGATGTTTTACAATACAAACAAAGTTGATGTTTCTGTCTTTTAGTTTATGCATAGGATGGTGAGGAAGGCTACTCTTTTGTATCTTATCTAGTCTTTAGTCTCAAAATAGACAAATTTCAATTTGGTTTTCTGTTGACTTGGGTTGTGCAAAAGCAAGTCAACCTAAAATGTTAATCACATTAGGGTAAAATCTGAAAACTTCCATTTTAGATTACCGTTTTGCCTCTCCACTAAATCAAAATATAATTAATTTATTTATTAAATATTAATATTTTAATTACATAATGGTGGAATATGAAGTCCAACAACTACACTTGAATTTTTTAGTTATGACATTATTATAATAATGATTGATTAGGTTAAATTCAATTAGAGCAGAAGACAAAATAATGTGTGAACTCTTCCAATTCGGTGACTCTTTGAATTTGAAACCAAAATTTATGTATCATGATTCAATGTGCTCCATTAATAAATTTTGATAGGTTAAAAGACAGTAAAATATCACTATAAATACCAGTAAATTGCTCCCTAGATCATCATACTCTTTTCTTTTCTATCATCTACTGTTCTCTTTTCTCCTTCCTAAGTAATGATATAGATACATGTCGTCAAGAAGCTAACTGAGGAGAAGAACAGATAGCTTCATATGAAAATTAAAAAGAGAAGCTTTCTTACAATATAGTTCAAGTGTTAAGCTTAGAAGTACATAGAAGTACAAGATATGACCTATATATTCCTTTAGACCATTTTTATGTTAGCTTATGATTTTAAGTTTTTCTTTTCCATTTTGGAGTTAAGGTATGATTGTCCAAAATAAATTTGGTATGCAACCCATATTTTTATATAATTCTGTGTATCATTTTGCATTGTTATGGATTTTTTTTGTGTGTTATTATTTTTTTAAGTGCTACTTAATTGACAAAACTTCTATTAATACACAATGAGTTTGATAATACTTGAATAGTTTATGCAATATGCCTTTTTTAAAATACAAGTAATTTAAATAGAGATTGCTAAAAGATTATTACTTTGAATGAAAGATTTAGTATATAATTTATAACTCAAACATGTTTCTTAATACTACTAATATTTATGTAATTTTTTAAAATTTTGTGGTCAATAAAATTGGGTTACACACGCAAGGTGCATGCCAGAACTAGTTTTTATATGTGCACCCCGCGAAGTGACAGACCCTTGAAGAAGTACAATAAAAATCAAATAGTAGCAATCTTGGTTATAACTTTTCAAATATAAAATTTCTTGCATTGCCTTAAAAGCAGTTACAACAATTAACATTTATGGTGTACAAAAGGCTCTCAATGACATTAGCCTTTGAGGCAATCTGTGCAGAATACAAGTTGTGTCATGCAGCTTTCTACTAAAATGTAATTTACAAGATGCACATAAGTTACACGTAAAGAAAACTCGAAGAGGGAAGGAGCAAACCTCATGGCATTGTTGTTCGACCACAAGCTTCATAAAAAGGGAACATGCTTATGGTTCTGTTTTTCGTGTTCATCGTTGCAGAGTCTAATATGATCTTACTAAACAATGAACTTCTCAAAGTGAAATAGGTGCTTCCTAACCCGATAAACATGTATACTGTATAACGTCGAGGCCAGTGTCACTAAAAGGAAAGATAATAGGATCAACTTCCAGAAATCCTGAATCAAATGCAGCAGAAGAAACAAGTTAAAACACATTTCAAGTATACAATAACAAGAAAGGCTTTCTATGTAATGGAAAGATAGAACTTGTATTTAACACAGGACAAAATAATACTAACAACAACAACAACATACCCAATGTAATCTCATAAGTGGAGTCTGGGGAGGGTAGAGTGTATGCAGACCTTACCCCTACCTCGGGGAGGTAGAGAGACTGTAAATTTCCGAAAGAGAACCTTTGATTACACAAAGGATCACGTCTCTTGATTACGAGAAAGATAAATATGGTAATAGATTATATTTTCTTATTGTTTCTCTAGCCAAGCAAATGCTTCAATCGATATACAAGAGTTCACAAGTTCCTCTCCAAAATAATCGCCATAAACAGAAATTACGAAGTTGTGGAAATGAAGTGCTAACAACAGAAGTATCTATCTTTGAGGCTGCGAGAGAAAAGTTGTATAGATCTTCTTTCTACAGAAGTTGTGAACTTTACCTATAAAAGGTTCCTTAAATCTCTTATTCACTATCAAGTCCTAGTTTCTTTTGTGAAGCACTTCTAAGTCACGTTGCAGCTTCGAGGGAATAATGAGTTCTAAAAATGCCTCTCCGGATTGAAATAATAATGAGTGATTCATGAAAATCTAAAATGATCATCACCTGGGGATTAGATATGATTATGCCCGAGAGATAAGTCATCAATTCCAGGAAAGACTGTAGTGAGTTTTGAACTCCTCCTACCACACAGCGATCACTTTCAGGGACATGATCCTGTCCAAATCCAGAAATGAAGATGCCATATAATGTAAATCGCTATCAAGAAAAACGATGAAGATGACAAATCTCTTCAACGAAAGCTAGCAGAAATGTTTTAGCATCCTCACCTGCATTTGCTGAATGACCGCTAAGTCAAACATCCACAAACCCAAACGCGATGCAGCCACACCAGCCATAAGCATAAATGCTGATAGAAATTTCTTATGGACCCATATTGAAGCTACACATATCAACAGGGAAGTCCACTGCATAGGTAACAGAATATAACCAACTTATAATTCAGAACATTCAATGATTACACCGTAAATTTCTTAGCAACTTCTCATCATATCCTGTCACCATACAGATTTTGGCTCCTTAAGTATTTACTATGCTTAATACCTGTGACCAGATTGACCAAAGGCCTGTTCGGAGTGTTGAAATATGTGATTCTAATATTGGGTAGAGAAATGTTGCAGCTATCCCTATTGTTGCGCTTACTCCACGTGCAATTCCAATGACATATGCAGGAATTCCTTCCCATTCAAGCGTAGCAGTCATCAACGTTCCAAAGCTGTGGCACAAATTAGACTAAGAAGTGATCAATATGCCCTCGGTATATTATGTATCAGACATTTTACTAGAAAGTTAAAAGTTTTCCTAGGTAATGTTAAAACCCTTCTCAGGCAAAATGGCAAAAGCACCGGGAGGCTGGTGCAGTTGTTAATTTCAAGGATGATTGTTGCAAATGATTTTAAGGTCAATTGCATAATAACGAGTAACATTACTAAGTTTTACCTGAGTACGGTGAAAAAAAGCAAGGCAAGGGCTAGCCCTGGGAGGACTACATCTTGCTGCAAGTACACTTTCCATGCAGAAAGGCAAGGTAATCTTGAGATCGAACCGACTATTTTCCTCCAGAGATTTTCAGATTGCTCCAATCCAATTCTATCCAAGTGAAACGTGCTTTTCTGTTCATGAGAAATAGTGGGGCTTAAATCCGAATGCTCTGGCGAAGATCTTGAGGCCCTCCTCAGGCTGCTTTCACTTAGAGCTGGAATCCCATTGTATACAGATGTAAGAAGCCAGTATTCCAAGAAAACGGATATAACATTCCAAAGAGCTAGAGTCATGGCTGATGCAGTTAGAGAAACAAAGCTGATAATGAAGCCAGTTATCACCGGAGCGAATAGCTTGCAAACCAAATCTATTCGTCTTATGATTGAATTCATCTTTGTTAACAGCCCAGGAGGATGCCCTTCTGATATTACGACTACCCTGCCAATAAAGTTCAGTTAATTGTAAACACATCCAAACTAAATTATGAATGAAAATTTCAAGAAAAGGAGGGCGACCACTTTAAAATTTCAGATGTCTCACCATTCTCTTTCGATCAAGATGGTTCCGGCAAGAGATGAAAGCACACCAACAGCTCCGGATATATAAATTAAACTTACAAGTGAGATAAATGCCGTAAGATTGACCAATATCAAGTCTGCACGGACTAAAAGAGCAATGACTGCACCTCCAGCAACAATAAATGAGATGTTTTGGCTTAGCAGCCAAAGTTGGAGAACCTGCAACAAAGTGCAAAGATTGTATTCCTAATCAAAAGTGAACATTATGCGATTACGTCTTGAAATATAAAATATAATTGCTAGAAACTTATTGTGTGTCCGTCCTGGTCTGAGTATTCTGCTACCGTGAAATGTTTGGTATGTAAAATAGTACGCAATATCTACTAAACCATGCATGCCAACGATTGGTTACTCAACCCCATATTGTTACCCCTTTGCATAAGCAGAAGCTTTTGTTCCTTTCATCAAAATACAGTACTAAAGTGGATTTCCAATGCATCTTGTGATTTTGCTTCACTAAAGCACAATTTACTTACATATCTCTAAAGCATTTTTTGACCTCTTGATTCATATATACCATTTACATATCAATATGAATGGTGTTGTTGAGGCATAGTTGTTGTGGTATGAATGATGAATAACCATTAGTATATGACAATTACCATAGCAATTATCGGAAAAATGTTCTATATTTTAAATTGGATCTTTATCAATCATGTGCAGAGGACTGTTAAGAATGAATGAGTACGAACCTTAACATATGTTAACCTATCCACCCACTGTCCAATGAGAGGACCAAACAATGCCGTTGAACCAGACTCAACCACACCATAAGCAGCCGTTAGGAGTAACGAATCTGGCCAGACGTTGATCATGTACAAACCAACAGAGAATTCCCACATCCTGCAATTATGAAAATGTTTATAATTGAATCTAACAATAATGCTCGTATAATTGCATTATGCCTTCCATAACATGTATCATAGGCAATATTGCACAATTTGGTAACTTCTAAAATGTCTCATACCCTCCCACTGAGTTCTTGTTATTCTGCATTATTACCACTTCAAAGGAAGTAAAACACTACAATCTCCATAAGACTGATCTCTAATGAACATACTAACGATTTCTGAGCACGAGATTCATCGAATGGAATAGGCAGACAATTAGAGAATCATAAGGTCAATTCTGCTATGTAAATAGTCCAGAAAAAGAATTCTGATTCATTTTTTTTCTTGAATTTATACCACTACACAGAGTGTTTAGCGACCTTTTATTAACATACAGATCCTCAATAGGGATAAGTACAAGCAAGGGGGTAGACCTTACATTACCAATCCTAATAAGCCTATAAAGAATTCTCTAAATATTGGTTCTATTGATTTTACTGAAAAGGATCGTAGGCAACGACAGAGGCAGGATTTTCACCAAGAGTTCATTATTTACTATATAAACGTAACAATATAATACATTTTGACCTTATTGTACAATATGATTTTCGGGCCTTCTGCCCCTGTAGCTCCACCACTGATCACAGGCATGAAGGTTTAAGTGCAAATTTACTCAAATTTGCATAACAGTGAATAATTTGAAGACATACTATAATTAAAAACAAGCTTTACTGTTTTATCACACCAAGAACAATACATAAAATCTAAATTTCTACACTCAAACTTGAAAATTTTAGAAAATAAAATACATAAAATATAGTAACCTGGCACTCCATCTGGATAGAAAATGACCAACATATAGATTATTGAGAAGAGCTTTTGGAAATTGAGGGTTCTGATTTTCTTGGGAAATTAATGCCTCATTCAACATGTTCATACTAATTTAATATTTTTCCTTGAATGAATTTTATCCTTCTTTGTAATTTGAAACATAAATTTGGACTTGCCAATACAAAAAATGAAGTTGAGGGTTGTTATATTTATTAATTGTGATGCAGGAAGCAAGATTTGACAAATGATACGGGAATCTTAGTAGCTCGGTTTGATTTATGACGATTATTCATCTTGTAATCTTCCGTCCTATTTCGCCTTCCCTTACCAAAATAAAAATAAATACAAAATGATGGTGACCCTTCAACATTTTCATGAATTAATTACTAGAGTACTTATAGTATTTCAACGAAATGGCAGAGGAATCAATTACTACAGGACAATAAATCAATCTTTTAGGAAAATATTTGTTACACGGATTTGTTTATAGGTACATGTCAGTATAATACCGATAATCAAAAGTAGGTTCGAGCTATGAAAATGGAGAAATCTCTAATAGGGTCTGTATAAGCTGAATTTCATGAAATTATACTTTCTAATAATTAATAAACCTGAAAATGAATCATCTTAAACTTATTGATGTGTATCACTTTATTAACTCATTACATAATCAAGTTGACTAGTTTTTTGGTCAAATTTTGTTTTTATTTTGCTTAATTTTAACAATCATATAATCATTATTCATTATGTATTGTTGTTATTTTGCTACTATTATGTAAATACAGTTGAAATTTTTAAATGTAAAAAGGAAAAGAAAATAGTAAAATGCCAAAAATACGACAATTTATATACTAAAGTTTATTAGCCAAAAGTGAAAAAAGAAAAAAAGAAAGAGAGAACTATTGTCCATTTTAGCAGTCAGATTTGTTTTTTTTGTCTTATTGCATGGACATATCTCAGTTTCACGAGGCTTTCAACTGCCATGGATTAGAATAGAAATAAAAATATTTTTTTAAAATTTAATATAAAATATATGATCAAACGCTATCTAAAAATATATATGCTGACTGAGCAAAGAAAACATCCAAAAAAAGAAATAAAAAAGAGTAGGGCAAACATTGAGATAGATATTGTCCAAATACAAATTAACTGATGAAGATATTTAAGTAGGGAAAAGGACTTAAAGGAGAGAAATACTTTCGATAGATATCTTTGACTTCATATTAATTAAGGCTATCCAACTAGATGATATATATATATTGTATTTACACTAATTATAATTAGTATTGAACTCATCGTTAGAAAATTTAAAAGGAAAATCACATGACACAACAAACATAGCTCCAATATATCCTAAAATAGTGATATTCCTTTTTTTTTTTAAAAAAAAATGGTAAGAGTTTAGGTTTAGTATTAAATACACCCAATACACATATCTCCTTATTTCTAGCATAAATACAAATATATCTGGTATAATACAATGACATACAAAGTGTTTTTTAATGGTGGTTGAGATGATTTTTATTTAGGAATAATGATATAACATATACGTGTGTCTCTTAAAATATTAAAGCATGGGTGTATCTAGGGGTTTTCATGGTTTGGATAAAAATCGATCCAAACCGAAAAATCAAATCAAACCAATTAAATGAACCGATTTAATTTGGGTTTTGGTTTGGTTTGGTTTTAGATTGTTAAGAACCGATAGTATTTGGTTTGGTTATGATTTTGTTCGAAAAAAATCGAAGAAATAATCGAACCAAACCAACAAGTTATATACATATATTCATAAACAATTTTAAATTTTTTATATATGTTTCATCAAAATTTATTTATCATTTACTTATGACAGAAAAAATATCCAAGGTGAGAACATTTTTCTTATTGGTTTCATGTATATGAGTGTCTATGGAAATTCTTTGTGGGACTGAAAATGTCATTGTCTCTTCCTTCTATGCCAAAATAGTGAATTTTGAAGTTTTATTCAGTAAATTCAATGATCGAAAGTTCTATAATGCCAGTCATTCTAACTATTTTTTTGTTTGAATGGATTGTTGTCACTTTTTTCACGTTTTGAATGAATTGTTTCTTTTATTTGTATGTACGGCTAATAACCGAATAACCGAATAACCGAACCAAACCAAAATAGTGAATTTTGAAATTTTATTCAGTAAATTCAATGATCGAAAGTTCTATAATGCCAGTCATTCTAACTATTTTTTTGTTTGAATGGATTGTTGTCACTTTTTTCACGTTTTGAATGAATTGTTTCTTTTATTTTTATGTATGGTTAATAACCGAACCAAACCAAATCAAAACCGAAAACAACCAAACCGATAAATGTATATTATATTTGGTTTGGTTTGATTTTGATTTTGACCAATAACTGACCCAAACCAAACCGTGAACACCCGTAGGTGTATCCAATATTATTGGCTAGGCTATGTAAAATAAAGGAAATGAGAAAATGGTCTAGAACCCCCCCAATCTATATTCGAAATCCCAACTACACACTCCAACTTTACGGATGTGCTATTACCCACCTGAACTTTATATTTCTCTATTTTATACACACCTAAGTGCTGACCTCAACACATAAACCAAATAATTAGGCCTGCGTGATTCCACGCGCTGGGTCCCTCACCTCTTCAACTCCCATTTCTTGTTTTTTCCACCATTTCCCTCCTAAAACGTAAAAGAACAAAAAAAAAATCCTCTTTTCTCATTTTCAATCCTTCTCCATTAGCAATGCCCTCTGTTAACTAAGAGCTTAGGTTGACAGTTCCACCGAAATGGCCATAGCGCAGCCGGCGACGGTCATACGACCTTCAGACCAATGCAAAAATATACCTATGGAGGAGACGGATCTTCTCCAACAAGAATCACCTTCAAATTCCAACCACAACTCCTGTTCATCTTTCGGAGGGAGTGATTCAGATCGTTCCAATTAGGTTTGATTCATCCATACAAAGCTTATTCAAGTTTCCACTTGCCATTTTTGATGAATTTCGAGAAAATTCAAAATTAAAATTAGAGACCTAAATAAGAAATTAGAGCATATTACAAATCCTAAATTCAAGATTTGAAGTAGAAATAAACATTAGCAACTAAACCCTACTTAATTTTGAGAGGAAATTGTGATTTTTTTTTATATAAGGAACAAGGGTTAATGGTGGGGAAAAAGAAATAATGGTTTATTTAAAAGTGGGGAAGATGACCATTGGAGAAGGAGGAATTTTTCGTCAAAATTAACTTTTAACGCGCCTAGAGGAGGTGAGAACACCTCCCATGACAGGTCAGCACTTAGGTGTGTATAAAATAGAGAAATATAAAGTTCAGGTGGGTAATAGGACACCCGTAAAGTTGGAGTGTGTAGTTGAGATTTCGAGTATAGATTGGGGGGGTTTTAGACTATTTTCTCTAAAGGAAATAGTTGATTCTGAATCCAATAAATCAAGTTGATGGAAGTGGTCAAATTACGAATTTAAATCCATAAAACACAAAATCTAAATTTATCCCTGAATATAAGGATCTGTTTTGCCATAGATTTCCCAAGTAAAAATTGGGGGAAAATTTGACAAATAGTGTTTGTCCATATAATTTGTCATTATTTGGCTAATATTTTTGACAAATAACTCAAATTTTCAAATACTAGAAAAAACTAGTATTTGGATCAAATCTCATTATTTGGAATCTTTTAAAAAATTCAAATTCTATACCAAACTTTTATCTTTTACAAAAACACCCTCTATAGTAGTTGTTTGCGTTGTATTACATAATTGTTTAGGTGAACACAAAGTAGTGATGGAATATTTAGTGAATATGAAAGTGATGATATGATTGTTGATGAAAATGATGAACAATCGGCTCAGTGTAACAAAGTCATGTGTTTTGTCTACTTCACGATGTATGAATTATGCTTGTTGCACTCACTCAGAACTACCACATTGCTCCAATGTTTAAGGACACTACTTGTTATTTGTTGCAACGAAGATTCAATTGACTTGTAATACAAACAAATGGTTAGTTTTGATAGTTTTAAAACTTATGGATATAAATTATATTTCCTAAAAAAGTGAAATATGTTTCTCAAATACTATGGCCAAACACTTGGTGAAATTTCACCCAAATAATATTTGCCAAAAATATTTGAAAATCCATGGCCAAACGCTAGCTAAGTGTTGCACAATGACATGAATATAATGCATTTTGCATGCATACAAATATAATATATTTTGCTTGCCGATGAATATAATGTATTCTGCTACACATTTTAAATTCTTACTAAGTTTTATAAATATATAAATTATTATTATAATTCATAATTTGGACGATTCTATCCTAATATACGTACGAAAATTCGACAATTTAAAACTCATAAAATTTTATCGTAGCCCGCCTGTAAATACATATGAATGTAATATGATTTCCACTCTACTAATACGAAAAGTTTGAAGCACAAAAATAACAAAGAATTTGATTATGTAAGCCTGTCTTCTAGTGATATGCGATGGAAACACTAGTTCAAATTCAACTTGAATTGTTCATTCTTAATTAGAGATATTGAGTTTTAATTTATAAAAATAGATATAAAATTTGATTGAATGCGCGTCGCTCTTAAACAGTGAGCCTCATAATTCAAATTTAATCAAATTTCAATAGCGTGTATCGAACATGAGTGAAAATCGACGAAAAAACACTATTCAAACACTATATACTATATTATAATATTTATTATGATAAATATATATAATGAGACTTTTAATTCTTTCATAAAACAAAATTTATGTACATATAAATAGTACCGAAGTAAACGATTTCACGAAGGATGTTCAAGAATCAAATAAGGAATTTTTTTTGATGAATGAATACACTAAAATTTTGTAAACCAATTAAGTAACATCAATAATTAATTAAAATCAAACTACATAATATTTCATATTTAAGTTGGATTTCTCGTAATGCAACTTGATTAGACTAAACACAATGAAAACATATTGAAATTTAGTTAATCAGTGAACGTTCGACCTAGATCTATGTGAATTTTTTTTTCAATTTTAAGCAATATTATAATTGCAATTTGCAAATTTTATTTTTCTTAAATTTTGGTCCTAGTTGGTGGAAAGTTATTTCACAAAGCACTGGATTTAAAGTAAATAGTACTTGTGGTTTATAATGTATCATCCAATTATTAAGAAATTAAACTCTACTTTTTCCTTTATTTTATATTCATACATATTTTTATGCCATCAATGTGGCCTGGGCGGTGCAGATTCTCTAGCTTCCACCAAGTTAATTTCTGATTATCAAATAATCCCAATCCTTAAT